CCCCTGTGTCGAGGGGCGCCTCCGGGCTGCTCCTCACTCCTCCCAGTTTCCCCCGACAGAGGCTCCTCTGCAGACACTTCACATGGACGTGTGGGGCCCGGCACGCGTCCGTGGGCAGGGTCATGAGCGCTACTTCCTGCTGGTGGTTGACGACTACTCGCGTTACACCACAGTCTTCCCCTTGCGCAGCTAAGATGATGTCACTGAGGTGTTGATCGACTGGATCCGCGCAGCTCGTCTCCAGCTCAGGAGGAGCTACGGCTCGGACTTTCCTTTTCTGCGTCTGCACTCTGACCGCGGTGGGGAGTTCTCCTCTGGCCTTCTCCGGGCCTATTGTCGTGCACGAGGGATCCGCCAGACCTTCACGCTTCCGGACTCTCCACAGCAAAATGGGATTGCTGAGCGCCGCATTGGCATGGTCATGGACGTCGCTTGTACGCCCATTATGCATGCGGCTGCCCCCCATTTTCTGTGGCCGTTTGTGGTTCGGTACGCGGCGCATCAGCTCAACCTTCACCCCAGGGTCTCTCGGCCCGCGATGTCCCCAGTCCTGCTGTGGACGGGAAAGGTCGGCGATGCGTCTGCGTTCCGTGTCTGGGGATCTCGAGCGTTTGTCCGCGACTTGTCTGCGGACAAGCTGTCCCCTCGTGCTGCTCCCTGTGTCTTCCTTGGCTTCCCCCCTGACGCTCCAGGGTGGCAGTTCTACCACCCCTCCTCTCGTCGTGTTCTAACCTCCTAGGACGTCACGTTCGACAAGTCAGTCCCCTTCTCCCGCCTCTTCCCCTACCGCACTCCTTCCCTCTCCCCGCCACCGGACTTCCTTGTGCCGGTTCCCCCCCCGGTAGACCCCCTCCCCCCTCAGGTTCCTGCCCCCTCAGGTGTGTCCCAGGTAGACGCCGTTGACCCGGTCGAGATTACTGGTGACTCTAGTGCTGCTGCGGGTGCTGAGCCTGGGGGTGTTGTGCGCGTGGGTGCTGAGCCTGGGGGTGCCGAGCCTGGAGGTGTTGCTACTGGGGGTGCTGAGCCTAGGGGTGCTATTGCTGAGGGTGGTGAGCCTGGGGGTGCTGAGCCGGGGGGTGCTGTGCCTGGAGCTGCTGAGCTAGGGGGTGCTGAGTCTGGGGGTGCTGAGTCTGGAGCTGCTGAGCCTGGGGGTGCTGGGTCTGGAGCTGCTGAGCCTGGAGGTGCTGAGTCTGGGGGTGCTGCGTCTGGAGCTGCTGAGCCTGGGGTTTCTCCTAGTGCTCCGTCTCGGCGGGAGCCCCTCTCTCCACAGGAGGTGCGCGAGTGGTTTGCTTGCTGCTGGAGGCGTACTGCTGGAGCTCGAGCTTCTTCGACCGCCAAGGGTGCTGGTGCCGCCGGTCCCGGAGCTGCTGGGCCTGCGGGTCCTACTGGAGCTGGAGCTGCTGAGGGTGTTGGTGTCAGAATCCTGAGGCTATGGCCTAAGGAGGTCTGACAGAGGGTGAAGCAGGGATAAGCATAAGGGCAAAACAAAAACAAAACAAAAGGGGGGGGGGAAGGTGTACTGAACTGTGATGTACATTTGTAAATAGCGAGGGACCCTGCAGCGGGGAAGGACCAGGCATGCGACAAGGAGGAGAGGAGGGACCGAGAAAGGGGAAGGACCGGTTGGCAGAGGTGGCTGCAGAATGACGTGGCGTGGTATGAGATTGGGGTGGATATGGTGTGCATGGGGGTGTGCTCTTTTTGTTTCCGCAGACACCGAGTCCGAGGTCAGCTGGAAGTCACTGTTTCCAGCTGGGAGGCAGGCAGCACGGCAGTACGGATGGCAGCTAGGCTATCTACTCAACAGCTTCGTTGCTAGGTAGCCTTGCTAGAGTAGGTAGGGAAGCATAAGAAAGGGCCTCGGGCCATGGGACTGCTACTGTGCGTATGTTTTCGTGAAATTACTGTAATACTCTTTGTCTCACGCAGTTCTAACACGGAGCCATAACCACAGTCGAAATGAATGGGTAGGAGCCGGGGATTACATACGCATAGTCTATGCGGTTAAGATCTGGAAAGAAGCTAGAGTCGGTCACGGTCAAGCAGAAGGACCAGGAGGACGAAGAAGGCAACGGTCGGCCGATAGATCTCTCTCAGGAGACGGGAAGGACGGAAGGCCGGACTGGGCCGAGTGATGGTGCAAGTGGGCCGCAAGGCGGCGATGGCGTGAATGACAAGGATGGCCGTACGAACGCATCCAACGAGCAGAGGGAACGCCTGCGCAGCCAGCAGCCGGGGTGTTCGCAGCCAGGAGGGCCGAGCGCATATCAGCGGAGTGCCTCGTGGCAAGGAACAGAGGATGAGGCGACGATCCTGCGGTGGAAGTACACGCAGCTACCAAAAATTGAGGTGCCGGAGAGGTTCTCGGGAGATACAAGGCGAGGACCGAGCCTTAAAAACTACATCATGCAGCTCGAAAACCTGTAGGTGCGCTGGGCAAAGGACCGGCTGGATCCAGAAGAGTTCTTCAGAGGCTTGGCCAATACCTTGTCGGGAGAAGCGGAGACCTACTACCGGATCTCCAGGAAGGAGCTACTCGACTGGGCGGCGGGGAGAGCGCCAGGCGAACGTGATCCGACGGTGCGTTTTCTGGCGATGCTGCGTGAGCAATTCTCGCTGCAGACAGCGGAGCGGGTGGTGGAGTTTCGTGGGTTCCGCCGCAGAGATGGGGAATCTCTACTTGCGTATTACGGGAGGCTGGTGGAGTTGGCGGAAGACATGAACTGTACGGATCAGGGCAGGTTGATCGGGAAGTCTGTAAACGGATTGAGCCAGCCGCTGCGGCAGGATGTGGAAGTGCGAGTATTTGAAATGGGGCCTGAGGCTACGTTGAAGGAAGCGTACGAGATCGTAAAGCGCGTGGAGACCGGGCGGCGCATGTATGAGGTAGAACGGTCGGCAGACAGAGCACCGGAAAGGAGGCGCCCGGCGTGGGCAGCGACGTCGGCCTATCAGGAAGGGGAAGAGAGAGGACGAGAGGACCCCCGGCGCTGTCACAACTGCGGGATGACAGGACATCTCCGAAGGGATTGCCGTAACCCCGCAGCCTGCTCGATCTGCGGGAGCCGAGATCACATGCGGAGAGACTGCCCCAGCGCACCAAGCTGCACCAGGTGTAACAGGAAGGGACACCGCGAAGCAGAATGTTACGCGGCGAGAAGGGGTCGGCGAGGCGGAGAAGCGGGGGAGGACAAGCAAGCCACCATTGCAAGGTTACAGGCGCAACTGGCGGAGCTGGAGGCAGCGGAGTCGAAGGAGCCGGCCATGGTGGCACAAGAGGAAGCAGACGCGGAGGACCCCGAATTCATGCTCATGGCTCAGCCGGCGCGAGACCGTGAGGAGCTGGGACTGAGGAGGAGCACCCGAAGGCAGGACTTTCCCGAAGACGTCAGGCGGGAGGACGGGCCGAGACGGCGGGCGAGCGATAGGCCGGAGACCCCAGGAGCGGCATTCAGGCACCCAAAGGAAAGGATGGCGAGCCACGCCACGGTGCTGACCATAGCGGAGGGAGCGGTGACGATTGGGGGATTCACGGCACCAAGGGCTATAGTTGACACGGGAGCGGCTCATGTCCTAATCAGTAAACGCGTGGCGGAGAAGTTACAGCTGCATATGCCGGGGCGGCTTATCGCGGAAGGATACCTGCTGATGACGGTCGAGGGAGGGGAGGCGAAGTGGATGCCGAAGACTCGGCAGTCCATGTCCCTTCTGCTGAATCCGGGAACTCCGGAAGAGTGCGCACTCCGGGTGGACTGCGGCGTATCGGAGTCGGAAGATTTCGATCTGCTCATCGGCGTAGAGTACTTGTTCGGGATCGGTGCCACTATCTGCATGTGGGAAGAGAAAGTGCAGTACAGGGTCTGCTACTGGGAGGACGACGGGCCACTCGGCACGCTGCCAGTGCGTTTTGTGCGCAGAGAACCTAGGGAGGCGTATCAGTGCACGGAGGCAGAGATACGGCAGGAGTTGGGCATACCCACGTGGCAGCAGATCGAGCGGCTGCCGCCGCCGGATCCGGGAGGAGCAGAAGGGGAACCAGATCTCAGAGCGCTCTGTACCAACACCAAGCGACTGCTGGGGCCGACGGTGGTGTTGGACCTCTTCGGGGGCATAGGGACGGGATTAGCAGCAGTGCTGAAGTCGGGCATCAGCGTAGAGAAATGGATACTGGTTGAAAGCGACATGGAGGCGGCGAAGATGGCAGTTTGTCACGCGAGCAAGTTGCACGAGCGCTACCCGCACCAGTTCTGCTCAGAATCCATGGATCGAAGCCTACAGTGTGGACAATGCAATATACGTGACGTGGACGAACAGCAGCTGCGACAGTGGGGAAGGATAGATATAGTCATTGCGGGGTGGGAGTGCCAAGGCTACTCACGAGCAGGTGCAGGGAGAGGAATGAGGGACGAAAGGAGCAGCTTGTTCCGAGAGCTGAAACGAGTGTTGGGCTTGATAAAGCGTATCCAGGGCGACGTGCTCTACATTGTCGAGAATGTGGACATGGAAGGAGATATCAGGGAGCAAGTGCAGCTGGCGCACGAGGAGGTGACGGCAGAGCTAGGGCCGGGCGTGGTCGTGGATGGAGCGCAGATTGGGAGCAGAGCGCATCGGACTCGCCGCTTCTGGACTAATGGGGTCAGCGAGGCTGCACTGCAGTACCGACTCTCACTCATGGAAAGACCAACACCGCGGTTGGTGGAGGACATCCTGGAACCAGGAAGGTTGGCGGCACCGGTGATGCGGTTGGATCATCCGGCTCAGTTTCCGTGCAAGTGGGCAAGCCAAGGCAGGCCTGGCCTACGTTCGTGTCCTATCTGAACGCAACGGCATTTCGGATGCATGGTGAGGACCCGGGTCCAGGTATGGTGTACGACTGCTTGACGGGGGAGTGGCAAGAGCCAAAGGCGCTGGAGAGAGAGCTTGCAATGGGGTTCATGATGGATGCGACGGCACACCCGGAGGTGACGGAAGAAGAGAGGAGGAGGGCGTTGGGTCAGGCTATGGATCTCAACGTAATGCACTGGCTCATGGCTACCACCCGCATGTACCACTCTCAGCTGCGGTGGGAACGGAAGCGCGATAAAGCAGCAGCGGTGCAGCCACCAACAGAAAGGTCAGCGGCGAAAGAGGCATTGGCACGTGCAATGTTGGGCGAGATTCAGGAGCACGATGAGTGACAGCGCGAATGCGGCTACCCACTGGAAAGGAGATGGGTCTATCCTTGGGAGGAGGAAGATGAAAGGCCGGTGGTCTACGCTGAGCAAGAAGAAATCTGGCTGCCAGGGGAGAGGGAGGAAGCCGCGGTGGATAAGAAGCGAGAGGACCTTGATTGGGTTTTTGAAGCCATTGAGCAGCAGCGGCGCCGAGAGCGGCATGAGCGGGAATTTGGCCTGAGTGACTTCGCTCTTATGGCCGTCACAAAGGAAGCGGACGTGACAGCAGGGGACATGGGGCAAGATCAGTCAGGAAGCAGCAGCGCCACAGAGCAGGCAGCAGCTACAGAGGAAGAACCTACGGCGGCGGCAGATCCGAGGGCAAAGCAGCCAGGGTGGCCAGAGGGACAGCCAGATTGGGTGATAGGAGACGGAATGTCAGCAGCAGACGCGGGGAAGCTGAGGGAGGTGCTGACGAAACATCGGGCCGCCTTCGCCTACACACTCAAGGAGGTCGGGAGATGCAACATGGCAGTAGTCACGTTAGACCTGACCACGGACATACCGGTCTACCAGCGGCGGCGCCGGATGACAGCAGAAGAAGTACGGATCTGCAAAGAGAAGTGTCAGGAACTGCTCGAGGCGGGGTTTATCAGGAGGTCCAACTCGGAATATGCAGCGGCGACCGTAGTGGCGGCACGCACAGACCTGACCGGCAAGGTGCTTTCTAAAAGGATGTGCGGGGACTATAGGGGACTGAACAAGATCACGGTCATGAAACGATACCAGACACCAATGCCGGACGAGCTGTTTGATCTCTTAGCGGAGGCACGGGTGTTCACTACGCTAGATCTGAGGCAAGGCTTCAACCAGATCCCGCTAGCGGAGGCAGACAAGAAGAAAACCGCGTTCCATGGGCCCGATGGGCAGTACGAATGGAACTTCTTGCCCTTCGGCCTGAAGTCAGCCTCGCCGGAGTTCCAACGAGTCATGGATCAGGTGCTCCGAGACGTCAAGAACGCGGCATGCTACATCGATGATGTGATAGTCTTCAGTACCGACAGCAGCTCGCACGTGGCCGATGTGGAGGCAACCCTGAGCGCCATACAGGGGGCAGGTCTCACCTGCCACCCCGGGAAGTGCTCATTCGGCCAAACGACGGTGTCCTACCTGGGGTTCGAAGTGGAAGGGGGGAAAATCGGGATCCAAAAGGCGAAGGTCGAGGTGCTGGACCGAGTGGCAACTCCGAAGGATCGATCCAGCCTGCGAGCTCTCCTGGGCTTCTTGAACTACTATCGTAAGTTTGTGCCGAACTTTAGTAGCAGAGCCACAGCACTGAACCAGCTGCTTCGGGAAGATCAGCCGTGGGAATGGGGCCCTGACCAGGAAAGAGCGGTGCAGGACTTGATGGGCGCAGTTAAGAACGGCGCAGTGCTGGAGCTGCCAAGGGCGGACTTACCATTCACACTCTACACGGATTGGAGCAGCGCGGGCATGGGTGCAGTGCTGGCCCAAATGAAGGGAGAAGAGGAGAAGGTGGTAGCTTTCGCGAGCCGCAGCTGTAACGCGGCCGAGGCGAACTACTCCTCCTACGAGGGGGAAGGCCTGGCGGTGGTGTGGGCCGTGAAGCACTTCAGGGTCTACCTGCAGGGCCGGAAGTTCACGCTAGTGACGGACCACCAACCTCTGCTCTGGTTGATGCAGACGCCAGACCTGACGGGGCGGAATGCGCGGTGGGCGATGAAGTTACAGGAGTACGATTTCGAGATCAGGCATCGTCCAGGCAAGACTAAGCAACACGTGGATGGGCTGTCACGGAACCCACCAGCGGTGCAGCCGTCGGCCTGCCTCATGGCGATGGCGAAGGAAGCGGACAGGGGGCAGGTCTGGGGGGAACAAAAGGGGGGGCCAGCAGACATCTGGGAGGACCCAGCAGCACTGGCCTGGATACAGGGAGCTACTACGGAAGAAGGAGCAGTGTCGGCGCGGGTGCGAGCCAGAGGTGAACACTACCGCTGGTTCAAGGAGCAGGTGCAGCTGCAAACATGGGAAGGATGGAAGCACGTACCGCCGCCTGTAGAACGAGAGGGCATCATCAGCGAAGTGCATGCAAAGCTGGGGCACTACGGGCCCTTGCGGACGCAACAGCTGGTACAGACAGGATGGTGGTGGGCGGGAATGCGGCAGCAGATCAAAGACTGGGTGAGCAAGTGCGATGCATGCTACAGGAACCGAGCAGTGCTAGAGAGGGAGAAAGCAGAGCTGCAGCCGCTGCCTATAGTGAGCCTGGGGTATCGCTGGTCGCTAGACATCGCTGGGGAGCTGCCTGTCACCACAAAAGGGCGCCGGTACATACTGCTCATGGTGGAGCATGTTAGCAAATGGGCAGAGGCAAGGCCGCTGGTGCAGAAGTCAGCGGAAGCCGTGGCAGAAGCTTTCGAGGAAATGGTGATCACCAGGCTAGGGGCATGCGGTGAAGTGTTGACGGATCAAGGAACAGAGTTTGCCGGGGCCTTTGACCAGCTGCTGCAGGCCAGCGGCATTCGGCACAGAACCACGTCGCGCTATCATCCGCAAAGTGACGGGCTCACGGAGAGGCTGGTACAGACGGTGAAGAAAGGGTTGCGGGCGTACGGCGAGGAGCACAAGAGGGATTGGGACAGGAAACTCTGCTGGGTCATGGCAGGGTACCGTTTCAGCAAGCAGGCCGCGTTAAGGGACGTCTCTCCCTACTATCTGCTGTTTGGGAAGGAGCCGGTGCTGCCGGTGGGAGCACCTAAGCTCTTGGCGGACATGATCACTACGGGCTCACCAGAAAAGTGGGTCGCGGTGGCGGACGCGCGGGCAGCGTATCTGAGGCACCTGCTGCCAGCAGCGCTGGAGAACCTGCACGTGGCCCAGTTGAGGGACATAGAGCAGTATAAGCGACGGCAAGAGGCCAATGGCAAGGGCGTAGCAGCAGGAGTGCAGGAGGAGGAGGAAGTGTACATTAGGAGGCAGCGCAAGCATGCCCTGGACGTGGGGCTGTCGCAGCAGCGATGGACGGTGAAGGAGGTGCGACCCTCGGGAGTGATTGTGCTGGAAGACGGTAAGGGCAAGCGGGTGGCAGACCATGTGACGAACGTGGCGAGGATCCGCTCAAAGATGGCGAAGGGCGGACCCCAGGGTCCCATGACGCGCACGAGGGCGGCTGCATTGCGCCATGGGAGGGGGCAAGGAGGGTCCGAAGAAGAGACCAGCAAGGAGAAGGGAAAGCAGAAGGTTGGGTAGGACACAAAAGGGAGAGAGGAGGGAGCGAGGGAAGCAAGAGCTCGGTGAAGGGAGGGTTAGGGGAAGGAAGGGCATGGTCTAACCAGGCCATAAGTGGCAGAACCGGTGAAGCAAGCCAGGAGAGTGTGGAGCAGAACAGGAGGTGGAGGGCAGAGCAGGAGGATGAGTGGAGGGCTTCCGACAGCTGTCAGAATCCTGAGGCTATGGCCTAAGGAGGTCTGACAGAGGGTGAAGCAGGGATAAGCATAAGGGCAAAACAAAAACAAAACAAAAGGGGGGGGGGGAAGGTGTACTGAACTGTGATGTACATTTGTAAATAGCGAGGGACCCTGCAGCGGGGAAGGACCAGGCATGCGACAAGGAGGAGAGGAGGGACCGAGAAAAGGGGAAGGACCGGTTGGCAGAGGTGGCTGCAGAATGACGTGGCGTGGTATGAGATTGGGGTGGATATGGTGTGCATGGGGGTGTGCTCTTTTTGTTTCCGCAGACACCGAGTCCGAGGTCAGCTGGAAGTCACTGTTTCCAGCTGGGAGGCAGGCAGCACGGCAGTACGGATGGCAGCTAGGCTATCTACTCAACAGCTTCGTTGCTAGGTAGCCTTGCTAGAGTAGGTAGGGAAGCATAAGAAAGGGCCTCGGGCCATGGGACTGCTACTGTGCGTATGTTTTCGTGAAATTACTGTAATACTCTTTGTCTCACGCAGTTCTAACACGGAGCCATAACCACAGTCGAAATGAATGGGTAGGAGCCGGGGATTAAGGAGGGTCCGAAGAAGAGACCAGCAAGGAGAAGGGAAAGCAGAAGGTTGGGTAGGACACAAAAGGGAGAGAGGAGGGAGCGAGGGAAGCAAGAGCTCGGTGAAGGGAGGGTTAGGGGAAGGAAGGGCATGGTCTAACCAGGCCATAAGTGGCAGAACCGGTGAAGCAAGCCACGAGAGTGTGGAGCAGAACAGGAGGTGGAGGGCAGAGCAGGAGGATGAGTGGAGGGCTTCCGACATTGGTGCTAAGACTACTGCTGTCTGTCCAGGCGGTAGTCCTGCTGCTGGTGCTGCTGGAGGTCCTACCGCTGGAGGTGTTGGTGGCGCTGGTGCTGCCGGTGAGGGTGCTAGTGCTGTCCCTGCTGGGTCTAGAGCTGCCGCGCGGCCTCGGCCGTACTTCGTTCCGCTCCTACAGCAGGTTCTTGGTCTTTCTCCTCCTGTAGAGTGTCCACAGCCTGTCCAGACGCGGTCACTGTTGGAGCCTACCTCCCCACTCCCTGCTCCCTCTCCTTACACTGGTCCTACTGGGGGTCTTGCTGAGCGTCGTGAGCCTGCGTCTTGTCCCGCGTCGCCTGTTCGTGCTGCTCGCGCTAGTGGTCGCGGTTCGCGTCAGCGTCCTCCTCCTGTCCCTGGCACGCACCGGATGTCTCTTCGTCCGTCCACTGCTCCTCTGCGTGCCCCTTTGCCTTCTCCTCCTGAGTCCTCTCTTTCTACGCTTGCCGACCCGGAGTCGGACTCCCTTCGTGCTGCCAGTCCTACTGTCACGCGTCTGCTTGCTACTGTCGTCACTGACCCCTCTTTTGAGTCCGCTGCTGCGTCTACTCTTGTCGCTGAGCTCGTCGACTTTGCTGCCCGCTGTCGTCTACACTATGCTGCCAGTCTTGTTGCTGAGTCTGCGTCTGTCTGTCCTCCGTCCGTCGGGGGTGAGTGTGCTCTTGGCACGGACGTCCTTGAGGACAGGCAGGAGGAGTTCCAGTGTCTGGCTGCTGCTTCACCTCATCTCGCGTCTGTACTGCTTGCTCCTGAGGGAGACCCGGATGCACTAGACATCCCGACTCCGCGCTCTTACGCGGAGGCCGTAGAGGGTCCCTACTCCTCTCAGTGGCAGGCAGCTATGGATGCAGAGATGGCTTCCTGGAAGTCCACAGGCACCTACGTTGACGCAGTTCCCCCTCCTCGGGCGAACATCGTCAGTGGCATGTGGATCTTCAGGGTGAAGCGGCCGCCGGGCTCTCCACCTGTCTTCAAGGCGCGGTACGTCGCTCGTGGCTTCAGTCAGCGGCAGGGAGTTGACTACTTTCAGACCTTCTCTCCCACCCCGAAGATGACCACTCTTCGGGTGCTACTGCACATAGCCGCTCAGCGCGACTACGAGCTTCACTCTCTCGACTTCAGCACTGCGTTCTTGCAGGGTTGCGTTCACGAGGAGATCTGGCTGCGCCGTCCACCTGGCTTCACTGGGACTTTCCCTCCTGGCACCCAGTGGAGCCTCCGACGGCCAGTCTACGGTCTCCGCCAGGCACCGCGTGAGTGGCACGACACACTGAGGACTACACTTGCGGCTCTTGGGTTTGCTCCCTCTACTGCTGACCCGTCGCTGTTTCTGCGCACCGACACTTCTCTGCCGCCATTCTACATCCTCGTGTACGTCGACGACTTGGTCTTTGCCACAGCTGACACTGCTACACTCGCCTACGTGAAGTCCGAGCTGCTGAAGAGACACACGTGCACAGACCTGGGTGAACTGCGTAGCTATCTTGGCTTGCAGATCACTCGGGACAGAGCACGCCGCACCATTACCTTGACTCAGTCACACATGGTGCAGCAGGTCCTTCAGCGCTTCGGCTTCACGTACTCCTCGCCTCAGGCCACTCCTCTGTCTACTCGCCACTCGCTCTCAGCTCTGCCTTCGGATGAGTCCGTAGAGTCGACTGGCCCGTACCCAGAGCTTGTTGGCTGCCTCATGTACCTGATGACCTGCACACGACCTGACCTTGCATACCCTCTTAGCATTCTTGCACGCTATGTTGCTCCTGGGAGACACCGACCAGAGCACATGGCTGCAGCGAAGAGGGTGTTGCGCTACCTGTGCAGTACGTCGGGCATGGGGCTAGTGCTTGGAGGGCGGAGTCTAGTAGTCCTTACGGGACACGCGGACGCTTCTTGGGCCGACGACCAGGCTACGCAGCGGTCGTCACAGGGTTACACCTTCAGCCTTGATTCCGGCTCTGTCTCATGGCGGGCTACTCGCTCGTCTTCGGTCCTCAGCTCCAGTTGTGAGGCTGAGATCTACGAAGGGGCCATGGCTGCATAGGAGCTTCGCTGGCTCACCTACCTGCTGACTGACCTTGGAGAGCCGCCTCGTTCTCCTCCAGTGCTGTACGTAGACAACAAGGCCATGCTGGCCTTGTGTCGAGAGTAGTGCTTGGAGCAGAGAACGAAGCACATTGCTCTTTGCTACTTCCTTGCTCGTGAGCTACAGCAGCGTGGACAGTTGCGGCTTGCGTACGTGGCCTCTGAGGCCAACACCGCTGACGTGTTCACCAAGGCACTCGCGCCTTGTGATCATTAGCGCTTCTGCACCCAGCTGGGTCTTGTACCTGTCTTGCCTCACTTGCTCTCCTCTTGACCTTACGTGTACTTTCACATATATATACCTGCTCTTGCTTGTCTAGCTCAATATATATATGTGTGTACTCCTGCATGTGAACTGGCCTTGTGGCCTTGACCTTGTGCTCGGACTGTGTGGTGACTTTGTGATCCACCCTGAGCTTTGCTTTACTCTGCTTGACTGGTCCTGTGACCCCTTGTTCTCCCCCACTTTGCCTATGGGGGTGTGTCAGAACATTGTATAGCTTATGCTGTTGTGTAGGCTATAGTGGGGTATCCCATAGGGGATACAACCCAATTAGGGTTTGCTATTTGTACTCACTTCACTCATAGTTCATTCATTCCTCGTTCAGCTCTTCTCAGTGTTGACTTTCCGTGGATGGGAAGCTTCGTACCGTCCACCATCGTTGCTGTAAACTGGGTTTCTTCTTAGGATTCTCCAATTTTCTCCAACGTCCCGCGGTCGCACACCGAGTGGGACGCACCACTATCCACCAGGGCCTAGAGGCGACGCCCGTTGCAGATCACCTCGAGTACTAGTGGTTGCTGCTGCTCCGAGTATCCATAGATGGTATCGCTTATAGGATCGTAGGGTACGTCGAATATGTTATCCCTAGGTCCCGCGCTCAAAGATGCAGCTTCAGTATCAGTTTTCAACTGAGAAAGGTAAGAAGGATTTATCCGAGGCCGATTCGGCTTCTCTTGGGCCTGGAACCTTCCACTAAGCCTTTGCAGCTGTGTAGGCTTCATCTGTGGGGAACAGGGAGCCTTTAAACAGTGCTGCTAGGAGAGAATATTAACTCCTCGGAACGCTCGACCCATATTAGCGCTCTCGAGTAGGGTCCCCATAATACCCGGTACCGGTTTAATTTATGACTCTCCCTTAATAAAGGCTTGAAACCCACGAGAAGTAATATTCTTACTTGTCGGGGTATACGGGTGGAGTTTCCCGGTCAGTGTAGGGTCTTGTTTCGCGGATCCTCCATTAATCTCAGCGATTTCCCCTTGTGCCGGCTGGTCGTGACGTTTTAAATTTGCGCCACCATATTCTCCTTTTTTCGCCCTCTCCGAAGTTGCTACGTTGTCCGTTTTCTACTTCGGGGGTGCCGCACTGTTCTTGTCCTTCAGCTCCGCACACCTTCTCTTCATTTTCCAACACGCCAAGATACGATGTCCTGTAACGCCGCAAAATTTGCACGTCTCATTATTTGCTAGCCGCTGCTCCACATCGCCCTCGTCGTTCTCCATTGGGTCGGCAGTTGTGGGTGGTGCCAATCGCCCCATGCCACTAGTTGGCTTGTTGCGTCGTGTTCCGTAGTAGCTACTGCTCAACGTGTCGAATTGTTCGATCAGTGCTGCCGGAAACTGCGTCCACGTCCCCTCGCCTTGGACAATTCTATTGTTGATCCACTCTAGAGCTGGGCCTCGTAACAGTGTTGCTGTGAGCCGTATGCGCATTGCGTGTTTTGTCGGTGTCGTGCATCTAACGGCTTCGAAGTAAATTTCGAGTTCAGCTACAAATCGACGAACGTCGTTCCTTTTTACTGTAGGATCGAACGCCTCCGGTAGCCTCAGCTTTACTGCTTCGAGGTTAACTGTAGCTGCTGCCGTTGTCGCATGTAGAATTGTCGGT